GACTAGTGTCATATGCATGACACTAGTATAAGTTACTCCCCACTATGACCAGCCTAATGGACGTCCATCCAATAGAAGTCATTATATATAAACGGACATCAATTTTTCGTTAATTTTTGGATTACTTACTACTCCCTCCGTTCTAAAATAAATGACTCAACTTTGTATTAAGTTTAGTAAGAAGTTAGTATAAAGTTGGGTTATCTATTTTGAAACGGAGGAAGTACATAGCAACGGATCAATTCCTAAAACAACTGCTCTAATCTACTAATCCCCTTTCGAGGTGAGGTCGAGGAACCCCGTCCTAGACGGTTCGGCCTCGTCGTCTTTGGCGGTCGGCACGATCAAGATAGAGCTGATGACGGATGCCTCTCCGGCATAATCTTCATGCTGCTTCGGCACGTCGTCGTCCTCCGCCTCTAGCTCCTAAAAGAGGCGGTCACGCTTTGCCTCGTTGACGCGGAGGTGCCACCTCTCACGGCGGACCATGCATGCACTGTGCTAGGACGCAAATACCGCTTTGTTTATGTCCATGATGCCCGGGTTCGCCGCAACCACTGTCACGATGGTAGCGCCGGACGAGCGTTGCGCCACTAGCTAATCCTCCTCCAACCGATGCTCTTCCAGGAGTGCCAGGTTCTATTGTTGCTCCGCCCGCAACAGTCTGAACCCTAGGTATCAACGTGGCGCCACCGCCACTTACGTAGGCGCCTCCTTGTATGCAACCTTCGTCATCGCCGTGGGGTCGCCCAGCTCCTAGCTACGAGCTCGGAGATTGGCGCACCTTAGTGCGGGCGTGGCGTCAGATGTTGTTAACTGGAGCTCAACCCCGATTTTGGCGCAGTGCGCCTGCAACAACTGCCTCCACCACGAACAAACAGTGCCAACCATTGCGACAGCGGACGACTCACGATGATGCAAACTACGTACGGCAGCTCAAACCGTGGGAGAAAGAGCTCGGAGGGGTAGGGTTTTGGGGGCGTGCTCGGTCTACTTTAAATAGCCGGGCTAGGCAGAGCCGCGATGGTTAACAAGGCAGCCAGAGCTATGTGAGTAGATGGAAAAGATTACGCCTAGGCCCGCCCTATATAGGTGACCAGGGCTAGGGTTTACATGACCCTATCCAATCCCACACCTCCATCATCTTGCCTTGTGCGCCAAGATGGTCTTCTGGCTTCCAGCCGAGCCCTCGGGCTGCCTCCTGATGCCGGACTTCCACCAGGCCTCGTGGGTCCCTAGGCCGGCCCACTACCGTACTTCCTAGCCGATGGGCCGCCCTTGATGTAGTGCATCGTCGGTAGTCCCCGAGCATGTCTGGAGTGTGTGATGGATGTGCATTGATTTGTATGCAATTGAGAATCTAAATTTGAGATATGTGATTGCCGTGCAGGACATACGAGGGACAGTCCAGCTGCGTCCGCGGCTATGCTCGGGCATGTCCGCAAATGTATAGGCCTCAGATTTGCCAAGTCGGGTTGTAGATGCTCTTAGCTACCGACTCCACGCCAACACAGGGGGTACAGTAACATGCCCAGATGCTCCAACTCGTTCTTCACGTTTAAGCACCTCCCCCTCCTGGCCGGTACATTTTCCTTTTTCTTCTCCGTTCAATCACTACTATGATTGACTGAATGCATTGGTGGGTGGGGCGCCGGTGGCCAGAACAACTCGAGAACCACTGATTAACTGAAGGCGTGCAGTTGCAGTGCAGCACCGATCATGAGAACTGAAGGCAGTTGATATGCTGTCCTTTTTTCCGCGATTCCGCAAGGAAATTGCTGGTAGAAAAGAAAGAAGGAACCGAGGACTATAGTGTGTACTCCTATATTACGACTTAGTAGAATAGAAAGGGACGGTAGCCGGTAGGGAACCTATCCAGGAATTAATATTGTTTATGATGGAACCAAGACGCGCATGTATTCCCGGCCGGCAACTGGACGCAATTAACTACTGGTAGGATCGACGAGGGCGAGGGAGGACCATCAGCATCAGTTCGCCGATCTAGCTAGCACAGCAGTAGTGTAGTGGACGCCGACGTTTTACACCTCGGCTCGCCGGGACTGCGACCGGCCAGTACTCCATTATTCGGCGAAGAACATGCGTTTTAATCAATACTGTGGTACGTACGCGTACGGCTCACAGGACAGAAGGACAAACATGAGTGAGTGGACGCGTATTATTGTCTCTGATGAGTTTGCTTGACCGACTGCTGCTGGGTCTACCCCTTCCGTTTCCCCCCTTCAAAACCAAGGCTTCGACTCTTCACTGTCACCGTTTTATGGCAGAGTGATCAGCAGTATCGCAAGTCAAATACTGAGATGCTACGTAGACAAACAAAAAATTGATGGATGTGCGGTGAGCGTGGATCGAACACGCGACCTTCAGATCTTCAGTCTGACGCTCTCCCAACTGAGCTATCCCCGCTTTGTGTTTCAAATTAGATTATTTCTTTAATAACTGATAATCACAGATCAGCATGAGCGTTGTCTTTCTTTTTTTGAGTAAAAGCATGGGCGTAGCGAGCAGTACAGTTCGTGTCGCCTGCCCAACATGGGCCTCGCCCAGCCAGCGCAAGCAGAGCTAGGAAGAGAGGGCACGACTTTTTTTCATTTCTTTTTAAAGTTTTAATTTGAGAAAAAAAATCATGAATACACAAAAATATATGTGAATTCAAAAAACGTTCAAACAATGTTATTGAATTAGGAATATGTTCGTGAGTTAAAAGAATGTTCTTAAATTCAAAATTTTACATGAATTCTAAAATTGTTTGGGAATTCTATTTTTTGCAAATTCAAAATATATTCATGAATCTGAAAATGTACATGATTTTTAAAAAAAAATCATGAATTCAGAAATTTTGCAAATTTTAAAAAATGTTACGAATTAAAATATTTGCAAAATTGTAAAAGTTCGTGAATTTGAAAAAAAATAAAGAGGAAAATGAAATAAAATATTGAAAGAAACCCGGAACTAGAAAATAGAAAACAGAAATGAGATTAAAACCGGACGTAAGGTTCGAGAACCTTCCCAAAAATAGATGGAAGGTTCATGAACAAATGTCTTAGTGTGTATGCATTTTCATTGTAGATAAGTGACACCCAATCCCACCTTCACATTGGCACTGTTACTTCATAAAGAGGGGGGGAAATGCAACTGTCAGCAACTTTACGGATTGGCACCATAATGTGACGGTTTGTTCTGAAAAGTACTAAAAAGAATATTTTCTTGAGAAAACTCTCGGTGGTCCTCCACCGGATAACGCCGCTCAGGATGATATAAAATGTATAATATCAGACAAGGAGTGATGATTCTTTAGTAGTACAACGTATCATGCTTGCATCTATGGAGCCAGAACTTCAAAAACGTTCTAAATTTTATGGTGTTCGTGAGATAATCGCGGAGATGACAACTTTGTGTTCAACTACAAGCAAGAGCTGGAAAATATGAGATGAAAGATGGAACTTCAGTGAGCCAACACTTACTCAAGTTAGTTGGGTATTGGCTGGAGGCTTTAGGCCTAAATTTCCACCTGAGTTGGGCACTGATCTTGTCCTCGCATCTCTCCCTCAGAGCTACGATGGCTTTACCATGAATTATTACATGAATGGGATGAACAAGAGTCTGAATGAATATTTCAACATGCTCAAGACCGCAAAAGTTGAAACACAGAAGGACGTTAATCATGTGATGATGGTGACTTGGTGAGCAAAACAACCAACTTCAAGAAGGAAGAAGGGTAAGGCCAAGAAGGGTGTCCGTAAGAACAACACAAATGGAAGGCTTAAAGGTGGTGCGTCCTCTGATGCAGCTGAGGGTCGACCTCCCAATCCAAATACCATGCAGTCACGCACCCACGACCACAGATAGATGGAGGGG